TTAAATTTTACTTCTTCTGTTGTTTATCTTTATGTAAAACTATCATGCCGAGTTTTATTTTAATATTTCTTTGGTGAAACGAATAAGAAATGTAAAATTAGAGCTAATACATTTTCCCTTACTTACAGCTTCCCAGTGGCTAAGGGGTAGGTGTGAGGGTTCACACCGCTGAAAACCAGGTTTCAATACTCGCAGTGGGCGTATCACTTGTTGCCCGTGGCGTAGCTTTGTGCTAATTAACAAAAAACAAACCTTTACTCACGGCTTTCTACAAATTACTATTATAATATTATAATACTATAATAATAATACTATTATAATACTATAATAATAATATTATTATAATACTATAATAATAATAATACTATTATAAGACTATAATAATAATACTATTATAATACGACAATATTATTATACTATTATATATGTTATTTCGAAAGTCAAGAACAAGTTATACTTTTATATGTAAGCATTCTTAAGTAATTTTTTTAAACAATATTTTGGAAGTTATTTCTCTTGTTTGCTTCATTTGTATTGGTCTTGTTTTAAGATATCACCACGAACAAAAGACTTTGTTCCAAGTTCCGTTTTATCCTTGAAACTACTTCCTCCACACTCAAAGTGGCCCTATGATTACGGATATAGTCCGAGGTTGTAATTTCATTGTATCAGGTCGTCAATAAATTAATGTCGCCTTTTTTTTTAGATGAAAAAACCCGAACGACTTATGTAATTTCTTGACGACTTGATAAAATGCTACTGCGAAAATCGACGAGGTAAACCTTAGAATACACATTTTGACAAACTTTCCATAAACCCTCCACAGGACGTGGACTTCGGCTTCCAAGACCAGTTTAAAGGATTATAGGCACAAACGTCCGTTAGAGCAAGATCGGAGTGTTTATTTAATAGGTATATGGATGATGTGATTGGATTTTATGAAATTTTGGCTATGAGCTTTTGTTAACTTGTCTATCATTTGGTTATAGTACTAAGAGATTTGTTCTGCATCATAGCTCTCTCTGGATCAAAATATTTCCCTTCATAATCATAGCTTTAATTGGTCTTGATTGGCATAGATTTTGGAGCTCTTTGACGTGCAAGTTTTCCTGTCCATAGAGAATGCTGAATGTGTAAACGTGTCCGAGATGTTGTGTATTTTTGGCTTTACATCATTTAACAATCTCGTTTTATTAATATTAGACCCCTTATTCTAACGGTAAGCGGGAATATGCTACCAAATAACCAAATTCGCTATTATATTACTATGTGCGTGCAAATAAAAATTTAACGACAAAATGAAAAAACAACGACATTTCATAAAGAGTTATTTAGAAAGTAGATTTTAACCACAGTTTATACTATTATTAAATTCACACTTGGAGTATTGGGACACTAAGAACTTCTTCACTAAAAAAATTGTTTTATAAAAGCCAAATCTGAAATACTTTTACTAATTTTAGTTACTGGAAAAAATTACCAGAAAAAGTTTATATGTGCTTAACAAACTATAACATTTTATTAAACTCCGATACAGCAGAAGTACAGAAAAAAAAATACATATATAGCTAAACACCTTTTTATCTAAGGGTTCATGGTTCATGTCCTGTTGTTGTATAAACGCATTCCACGCTTTGAGGCCGTGGGTGTATTATAAGAGTGACGCTCAAATCCCACTATTCGATCAGACAAGAGTTGCTTAAGAGCCGACTGTGAACACTTGACTACACACAAATAGTTCTTGTGTGGTTTTTCATAAAATTCTGAACAAACTTATCATCATAATCTAACTTTTTGGATGCTTTTAATTTGTGCTCTCAAATGTGTGTGTGTTTTTGTAATAGCAAAGCCACATCGGGCTATATGCTGTGTTTACCGAGAGGAAACGAATTGTGCTTTCAAAATCACTAGATGGTGTCAACGGTGTTTATCATATAAATGATAAAAAAGAAACTATGTAAGTATATCAATCCAAAAGGTCCCATATTTTCATAGATATCTTTGTATAAATTAGGTCACGATAAAAATCAAATAATAGATAAAACCCACCCCTACCTTACAGTAATATAAAACATGCCCATGGAAGGCTTATATTGACCGAACTACTGCTTTAGTGGGTTACATTTCTTTGTTCACTATGATTACAAGTCATTACAAACCACATTGTGCCTTACATCAAAAATTACTGACGAGAATACGTATTCATAATGCAACCTTTTCCTATTTACCATCTGGTGACGAAAAGAAAAATAACGTCATTCTTTCTGTACAAATAATAAAATTTATATGATTGACGAAAAAAAAAATAATGTCATTCTTTCTGTTCAAATAATAAAATTTATATGAATCCTTAAACCAAGACT